AAACAAAGCCGTACCCTACCCTGGGACTTTAGGTGGCTGTAGAGCCCTGATCCTTCCCTCCCCTGCAGAGTAGGATAGAGCAAGGACACCCTGTACATCTTTAATTTGAATGCGGTTTATTCCATGAAGAAGCGTTCAAATGAGTTTAAACTGTTTTTCACATGATGCAATTGACACCTTGCATTGGATGACTTCTCTAGTGAAACTTCTTGTACCCGAGATCCTGGATTAAGAAATGTCACAAGACTTTGGAAAAAAACGCCAAGAAATCGAGATCTTGACTTCTTGACTCTTTCGCTTAAGATCTTGAAACATTTTAGCATACTCCACTCAAGATCTTGGAAGTAGAAATTTCAAGATCTTGAGTGAATCCACTCAAGATGTTGCAAGGACTTAAGTGAAAAATTTTACACAAGAGTGTAAAACAAAACGATGCTTCAAAAATTTCCAAGATCTTGGTACAAGAAGTCAAGAAATTACAAGATGTTCAAGATCTTGACTTCTTGAAATTTCTTGAATTCTTATATTTTCTTACCAAGATCTTGAATCAAGATCTTACTAAAAAAATTCAAGAAGTCCAGATCTTGGTTACAAGAAGTTCCACTAGGGTTGTTTCAGAGAACGATATATAAAACAGTTTATGGATACTTATTATCGCTACAACGTTCACTAGTTATATAACCTAATCGAGCACTGGTATTCTTGTTAGCCGGTCTAAAGTTGTTAAAGATGAAAGAATAAAATAATATATTTAAAGATGTTCGAAAATCGTGTAAAAAGCGGCGCAAGATCATTTGAGCAAGACTGTTGTTCATTCTTACCTGGGACATTTGTCGAAAACGTTAAAAAGCATGCAATGAACGAAATAAAAAAACAGATAGAGCGCGCTGTTAGTTAATCCTAATATACTGAATGAAATACAAGTTGTATATCTACACTCAGGTCAAACAATCTTTTTTACGAAACATAGGAAATTGTATGAATCTACGTAATCCAATCACAGGAACTCATATCATTCCTACCGTATGGTAGTTTGGTATAGAGGTATGCAACCCGACCCGACCCGAAGGTTGGGTACGGGTACGAAGTTGTCGGGTACGGGTCCGGTATGGGTTCTATTTTTTTTTATTTACCCGAAAACCGGAAAGTTCTAGTGGAAAACCCACAAAATTTTAGTGAAAAAATACAGGCGTTTAGCTAAAATACATGAAGGTTTAAAAAGAATTACTTGAGAACGTAATGATAATTTGACATCTTCAGCCGAAAAACAAAAGTTTTTAGCTGGAAAACAAAAAGAAGAAAATTTTTAGGCATAAGTCGGGTACGAGTACAAAGTTGTCGGGTCGGATACGGATGGAAAAAAAGTTTTCAGGTTGGGTACGAGTACGAAAATGGTATCGTGCACATCTCTAGTTTGGTATTTCTTATAAACTCATATCATCAGAATCTCACATCAACTTATAGTAGGAAACCTATCGAAGACTATGAGTTCCTACACAGGATTTTGTCAGGATTATTATTCGAGAGATCTGGTTTGTATTTTACTAGTAATAACTGATTAAAATGTTTTTCGACGATAAATTCTCTGTTGCGATCAATCAAGAAACTCGTTTTAGATCACTGGCTAGTAGATGATGGCTGGCTTGTTTGAAAAAGCATGATGGACTTAGAAAAGTATACTCGGTCACACGGCAGTAGACAATAAGGACGAGTATTGAGACTGCGCGTCTGGAACTACAGTTCTATTGTAGAAAAACGAGAAATAATGGGAAGAAAATTACTCTTTTTATGTATGAAACAGTAGATTATAGCGAAGAAGATACTTTCTTTCGAAAATAATTCTACTGAAGTATAAAATTCAATACATTTTAGTTATCATTGAACTTGCACCACCGATATTTCTGAATCACGGATGAGTGTGTTGTTAAAGAGATTTGTGTGGTAAACTATACAATCACAACAGAATATCATAGGATTGTATCCCTCCGACGAATTCTATTTTTCTTACTAAAATCACCGAATTATTTAGTTGACGTCGGACAATCAAAATCATTTTCTACATATGTTAAAAAGATATTGCTACTACAAATCTACGTAAGATTTTCTAGTAATGCCCTCTTCAAAGGAAAAGCAGCATCCTTCCATAACCGTGAAAGGAAAAAATTCCAAATGTCAATTCGAATGTCATCACGTTTTAGATAAGACATTTGAACTGAAATGGGTGAAAATCTCCTAGTTCATCCTACAGTTTAGAAATAGAATGAACCTTTTATGAAACACCCTTCAAAGTTCTAGGGAATACAGTTTATGTCTTAGTCTTGAATAAAAACATTAAGAACTTTGGTGAAAACAGAGAGAATAATGCAAAATTCATCGGGGTGCTCATCAACTCAGTGGCGTCGAATCCAATAATTTTATTGGAAGAGTATATAAGACACTTTTTCTGTTTCTACATAAGCTGTGAAGTCAAAAAAAGATATTGTCGAGGAAGTAACTCGTTCACAAAGGTCAAATTTCTCAGGTCAAGCACGACTAACGAGAAATAGGACTCAGGACAAGAGCAGACGTTGGGAAAGCAGCCAGTAAAGTAGCGCCCTCAGCACTTTTATCGTTAATCGAGCCTGATCGGAGAAATCCGACTTTTATAAACGAATTAGTTCATGTTTTCTGATTAAATTTGAAAATTTCATCCAATCATTTTGAGTCCCGCAAAATTATTCAAATCTATGAGTGGCTGATGGATGAGTCATCGCCTTTACGCAAATCACCAATCATATCAACGATGACAAAAAGCGAAACAAACAAACAATAATTGGAGAATATTTGTGTTGTGAAACGGGTGCAGATTCTGCGTCATTACTTTTTGCTAGTGCTTCTCACCGCTGGTTATCAAGTGCAAATGAATTTTGAATCGATCAGTTCTCTTATTCTGCCCGTTTGTGATGAGAATTTTCCTCAGAATGGAACAATCAACGTTTTTTTATCATATCAATCACAATGGATTATATTTATAATTCCTGGTCGCTCGGCTCTGGTTTCTTGGCGAATTGGTTATTGAAAGTTGACTCGTTTTGAGCTTGGGAGATGAGGTTTCTGTTGATACAGTGGTAATATTGTTATTTCAGACGCTCTTGATTTCATAGGATTTGTTCACATCAGATTTCGAATACTATAGTGATACATTAATCTGAATGAAGATAGTGGCATGAAAGGAGAAAATTTAGTGGTTCTCCTTCTCGCGTATACATGCGCTTTATATAGACTGACTATTCTCTAATTTTATTTAGAAGAAAAGAAAAAACAGAGCAGATTTCAGATTTTCAAAGTGAATATTCATTCAACTGCTACTAATCATTTGAAATGCGCTTCTGTTTTCGTCAAGTTATATATCTAATATATGGTAACTTGCGTCTGCGATGACACACTTTTTACTTCATTTAACTCTAAATAGAAGGTTTTTTCAGTTTCTAGAAGTATTATTTGAGAATACAAAGATTAAAATAAGGTCGAAAGACGATTCTTGTTCATTCATTGGTATTTGTTAGTTTGTAGCTCTGAGTTATGAAACAAAAATGACATATGAATAAAGAGTAGCTCTACTAGATCCATAGATTTCAAATATAATATTGCAAGTTCATCTATCGATCTACTTGTCTGCTTTATACTATGCCATTCATAGTACGTTGTCTTAGTGTGCATTACTGAAAAATCATGATGTAGCAGTTAAAATGATTAGTATGCAAACAGAAGAAGATTTAACATTTGACATTTCATAGTGATATTAAATTAGAACTAATTGTTAAAACAAAATAAGGTTGAAGATACTATATTCTTCGTTTTTCAAAAGAGAAACATATCCAAGTCATTGAGACGATACTTTTTAGAATCTCTACAGTTGTGTTTTGTTTTCGACGAAGTTTCTTTTGTATGTGTATTTTTATACGTAAGTACTTGAAAACAGCATTATTTTTTTGCAATCCGATCTAATACTGACGCTTCTGTTTATGTCTTGTTGCACGTGTACAATAGTACACTAAAATGTTTTTTATTTTAGAAAAACGTACTAGATTATGTGAAGCAAAGAAGGTAACTTATTATAAGGCTGTTCTCAAACTGGTATCATTGTGATACAAATTAAGACGAAAACAAACTCGTAATAGAACTTAACGTTTAATCATTCTTCACTGCTTTTTGTTTAAAGATTTCTCTATTTCACCATAAAAAGAGACTAATCTTATAGAAATATTTGAATATTGATGTGAAAATCGATGTTTTTGGGTGTTATCTGATCTAGGATTTTATACGGTATCTTCTTTTTTTGCTTTTTATCACTTCTTTAAAGTGACTCATCTTCGTATAATGTAGTGAATAGAAGGATAAAAGTTCACAGTACATATGAGGAAGTTGTTTTGTCATACAATGTTTGCCTGACCTTCTTCGAAATGATTGTGAAACCACGTATTTGCATTTCTTTTGAATGTTGCCTATACCAAATAAAACATATGTCAGTTCATAATTGTAAATAAATTATTTGTTACTGTAATAATCGTTAAATTTCAATGCTATCATTTTTTTAAAGACAATTGATTTAGTTCAATAATTTGTTGATGAATAAGAAAGAACTATTTACTTAACATCAGTCAGTTTAAGTTTTATAGAATAACTTTGAGCCTATAGTTCTGGTTTCTGTATTATGTCTAGATCAAATTATTTTTATTTGTTTTTACGTTCTTTTTTCGTCGTGATCTCTTAGTTGTCATTAGTATGCAAAAATTAATCGGTAATTCGTGGATATTTATAACTCGAATAAAAAAAGTGTCATTAATCTTTTGTTTTTCAAGAGTTGTTATCAGGAAACATTCTTTTCTTCAGAAATAAGTACCATATATTTTTGTTTCTCGTAGATGATGTTCCAGATTAATACTAGTATTCTAGTGTTTATTCTATTCTATATCCAAATATGTCACTGTGAACTGACAACGCAATCGCCTGATGAACTCATGTGTAGTCAACTTAACGAGTCATGTACTCAATGTATTGAAAATTCAAAGTGTGCTTACTGTAAGAAAGATGGAACATGTGGTGTTTTTAAAGAATCCGTTAGCTTTTCGCCCAAATGTGGAATAAATAGTTTGTACACTCCAAAATTTAAATGCAAGGGTAAGTGTACAAAATTTCTTTCTTTTTTTGGTTAATCTGTAAATAATAGTAAAAAACAAATTTAATACTAAAGGTTAATAGCGGTCGAATAGACTTTCTGTAATGAAGATTTTAGAGATACCATATTGTAATAAGTTAAATATAAATAATTCATTAGGTTATAACTAGAGAGATCATTTTCGAGCTAATAATAAATAATAATCATTTTTGCTGAACGATTTTTTATTGTCTTAGAAAAACCTATGCAATATGGAAAAAAATCATAAATCTTTCAGTTAAAATGAACCGAGGATCGTTTAATCAATATTCCTGACATAGTAGTTTGTAATATTAAGTTAGCTCTCAAGCGTCAATCTTAAGTTAAACATTGATCTAAGCCGTCTGGTAAGTTGTTCTAAGTTAATGCTGAAAAATGGCATACCCAAACAACCTCAGTTAAGTCTATGCTCAAGTTCATAAACGTGAACATATTGATGAGAAATCTTCTATAATACTTCGTAGTTATATAACCATTGAAATTTTGTTCGAAGATGATTTACTATTTGTTAAATTACATTATAAAATTTGTTTTCTTTAGTCACTGCTCAAACTCTACTGATCATTGGCTGTTCAATTGGTGCCGTTGTACTAATTGCTATCGGCCTAATTATTTGGTGTATGTGTAGACGTTGTGGTAGATGTGCTAAAGAAAGGTAAAATATGCACTTGATCGATAATCTGCAGAACATTACTTTGATAACTATTTTACTTATATGTAGAGAATTAAAGCGAGAAGATAGAAACCGAGTACAAATGGAACAAAGAAAACAAGAGCATGAAGTTCGGTAAGATAATATCAAATAAACTTTGATAGTTGAGAATGTATGTTTGTTTCTGTTTTTTTCAGAGTCGAGGAACGAAAAAATGCTACAAATCTAATACGATTGAAATATGGTATGTAGATATAGCAGTAGTGTTTATTTATATGGATACATTTATCACGCATAATAAAGTAACAGCAGTAGTTTCCATTTTATTGAAATACATATAATTAAATTAAAACGAAATATTTCAACGTTTCGAACTTTAAAAGTTCATTTTCAAGAATAAAACATAAACGTGTCACT